CCCCACCACACCTCGCTCCAGCTCCTTGGCAGGGATTGGCTCATCTGAATCCCAGTGCTCCACCTCACAGCTAAAGACCAAAGAAAGACCACTCAGAAGCAGCGGAGCCACAGATGCCCCCAGGCTCCCGAAGGCCCCCTGGGACTGCACCTCCCTCTCAAAGTGAGAAACACTGCCTTCTGCTTGCTCCAGCCTCAGGCTGCCTGGGGCTGGCTGAGGAGTCAGGGTCAGGCTCGGGCGGCCTCAGAACTGTCCCGAGAGGGTGGCTGAGGGTAAAGGGCTGTCACAGAGTGGAGGTCACCAGAGCCTGACCAGAGCCTAGTCTAAAAGGAGAAAGTCATGGGGACAGCTCTCAGCTCAAAGCAAGGAAGAACTTTATCACCCTCACAGGAGGCCTCATGGCCAGTGGGGGGCGGTGGCCTGAGGTGGGCAGTCCCTGCACCAGTTGAGGCTTGACTGTCCTGTCCTGGGAGTCCATGCCACGGGAAAGTCTCCTACTTGCACTCTGCCGGGAAGGATAAGATCAAAGCAATGCACCGTGGAGGAGTCTGAGGGCACACTTCCACCACAGCTCGTGAGCAGTGGAGGCGTTCCCAGGGGTGCTGCCCAGCCTCCCAGTCCTTGCCATTTAATTCAGTGCCCCCATCACATATAGCAAGACACAGGGCGGCGGCCGGCACCTCCCAGAACACCCTGCTGCAGCACCTGGCTGACCAAGGGCCTGGCACAGGCCACCCTGCACCCTCCTTTCCACGGGCATGGCACTCAGAGCTAGAGCTGCTCAAGCCCCCGCCATGACTGCTCCCCCCCTCCCCCGCCGCCCCCAGTGCTTGCAACCTGGCAGGTCCCTGACAAAGGTTTTGTTGCACTGAACAAAACAAACAAATCTCATTTTTGCATGGCCCTGGTTTCTGAGCCTGGGTTCCACCTTCTCCCTGCCAGACACTGGCTGCACAGACCTGGGTAACACAGTGTTTCCGCTGCAGTCAGACAGGCTGAGGTCAAATCCCAGCTCTGCCACACTGCAGCTGTGACTTTGGGCAAGGCCCTTAACCTCTCCCAGTTTGCTCATCTGTAAAATGGGAATTATAATACCAACTTCAGAGTGTTGCAAGGATTAAGCATTTATGTCTACGAAGAACCTGGAAAACTGGCATGTTAATGGTCATGAGAGACCCCTGCCAACTATCCAAAGGGACCAGGCCAGTGACTGCGAAGGTCCCTGACCCTGCCAAAAGTGACCTCAAGGGTAAAGGATTAACAGCCTGGATCTTGCGTCACCGGCGGCGTCCCGTCTCCCCAGGCCTTTCCCTTCACCCGCACTGCACGTGCCAGGGGAGCTGCGGTCCGGCGTCACTGCAATAGGCTTGGACAAGGCTAGGCCGCAGAGAACTTTTTTTAAGCCTCCCAAAACTCCATGACCGTCCAGGCCGGGCACAGGTTGGCAAGGCCGGCCAAGACGCAAGCGCAGGATCCGGGCTCCCTCTGGGCCCTCCCCACCAAAAATAAGTGGGGTTCAGGAGGCCGCCCCCAGCCCGCCCCCGCCCGCCTGGAGACGCTGAGTCACCCAGTGTGCGGGGTGTCGGAGATCCAGGGGAGGGCCCGGGCTCCGCAGCCCCTTCCCCGACACCACCCCCCGCGCCAGCCCGGGCCCGGGGACTCGGCGTGCGCCGGGGGCGCGGCGCGCTTACTCTGCGGCCCGGGCGAGCGCGGCCCAGCCCTCGGGGGGGATCCTGCGGGTGACGAACACCTTCATGAGTCTCACTGGCCTCATCCACCTTGCAACTGCGGAACACGGACCCGGACCTCCAGAAGGAAGCGGGACGCGACGGGAGGCGGGGCGGGGCCTCGGAAGGGGCGGGGCCGGAGCTGGGCGGGCGGGGCCGGAGCTGGGCGGGCGGGGTCGGGGGAGGAGGGTAGGGAGGGGGAAAGGTTGGGGGGAAGTGGAGGTGGGGGAGAGGGAGCCCGTGGGCCTCGAGGAGCGGGACTGTGTGTGTTCAGGGAGTGGCAGTGACAGTGTGACTCTGTGGGGTGGAACTGTGGCGCCCCTAGGTGTGTGTCTCGTGAAGCTGTGTGCATGATCAAGCCCTCATGAACTGGGACTTGTTCTGGGGGCCTTGGTCCTTGGCCCCCAGGGCCCCCCTCAGGGATTGGCAGGTGTGTCTGGGGTTGGAGTTGGGGTGGGTAAAGGGGCGTCCAGGAGAGTCCTGTGTGAGTATGTGTGGACGTCTGTCAAGATGCCTATAGCTGTCGAAGTGTGTCTGCGTCTGGAGAGGGGAGATGCAGTCAGGGACCATCCTAATTCCCAGGGCCTGAGCACCCTGGTGGTCCTTGCTAGGTCTGTTCCATTATGGTCACAGTGTTCCCGGCAGGGGCCTTTGGTCACAGACTGGGCTCTGAGCCAGGCCTCTGCCTTATATACTCAGGAGGCTGGACGGGGGCAGTCTGAACCCAGGCATGGCCCCTTTAGTATCTGGTGCAATTCCCCCATATGAAACCCACAGCTGTGGGGGGCAGTTTAATTGGTTGTGGGCCACTTGGCATGCTGGACAGCTGCTGGCCGGCTGGAGGCAGGTCATGCAGAGGGCCAGGGTGCTGGATAGGGCCATGTGGAGTCACAGGCAGACCTGGGCTTTGCAATCCGATATACCTGGGTCTGAATCTCAGCTCTGCCACTTACAAGCTGTGTCCTCTTGGTCAGTTCACATCATCTTTCTAAGCCTCAGTTTTTAGCTACAAAATGGGGTAAGGAGCACTTACCTTTCAGGGTTATTGTGATGATTAAACCAGCAATGTTTGCACAGGCCCTGGGCCATGGTAGGTGCTCATCAAGCTCAGGCTCTGGAGCCATTGTGCATGGGCTTAAATCCCAGCTCTGCCACCCACTGACCAGAAGTCAGTAAACTGTGTGCCTCAGTTTCCTCATCTGTGAAATGGGAATAATAGTAACACCTGAATCATGGTTTGTTGAAAGGATGAACTATGTATCGTCCTGTGTGTTACCACAGCATATAACACATGGGGTGCTTGCCTGACAAAGGGTGACACAGCCAAGGAGACCCACACCCTGGTGCCCTGAGGCTGGCAGTTGGTCAGAAATGGAGTTGCCAGGGCGCCTGGGTGGCTCAGTTGGTTAAGCGACTGCCTTCGGCTCAGGTCATGATCCTGGAGTGCCGGGATCGAGTCCCGCATCAGGCTCCCTGCTCGGCAGGGAGTCTGCTTCTCCTTCTGACCCTCCCCCCTCTCATGCTCTCTCTCTCTCATTCTCCCTCTCAAATAAATAAATAAAATCTTTAAAAAAAAAAAAAAAAGAAAGAAATGGAGATGCCAAAGTCCAAATGAGGATAACTGGGAGGGGCCCGGGCCTAGGAGCACCCAGAGGACAAAAGCCCTGCCTGGCAGTCTCTTCCCCGCCAGTCTTACCAGAATCCATTTCTGCCCCCTCAGGGCCCAGAAAGGAACCAGAGACAGGCACAGGGAGGTAATACGTCCAGTTTGGGTACACAGAGCAAGGCACTGGAAAGGCCAGAGCCGGCGTTCTGGGTCGTCTGCACCCCTGGCCAGTGCCGCACTTTGCCATCTCCCCAAGTCACACATTAATAAATGCCTAACCCACAGATGGTGATCTGCACCGCAGGGCCATCTCAGGGGCAATTTCTGAAATACTTCAAACATTGACACAACGAGGTGTTTTTCTGTCTCCAGCAAGGTCCTTGGGGGGAATGACACAGCTGGGTGACTCCAAACTCTGTTACTCAATGGTGAGACCTGAGCGCAACTCCTCCCGCACGCCAGGACAGGCGAGGACACGGGGTAAGCCTGTCCACCAGGGGCGGGAGGGGGCATGACACATTAATGGGCCCCCTCCCCTAAGGCAGAGCACCCAGCTGGTGCTCAATAGGTGCTACTGGGCAGGAGGTGTGAGCCGGAACAGAGAGCCAGCTGAAGGTCCCTGAGGAGGGAAACTGTGAAGTGGTAGGGAGAGAGGATCTGAGCTGGAGAGGGGTTCACTGGGTACAACTAACCGTGGAACGAGTCGCTAATATTGATGGGGCTCTTACTAAGTTCCAGGCACTGGACATGGGAACTCATGAATTTAAACATCTCAACCCCTTTAGAGTTGTGCTGTTATTCTGCCCACTTCACACATGAGGAAACTGAAGGCAAGCATGGTGAAGTTTGGGGAGCCTGGCTGGCTGGATCGGTGGAGCATGCGACTCTTGGTCTCGGTGTTGTGGATTCGAGCCCTATGTTGGGTGTAGAGATTACTTAAAAATAAAATCTTAAAAAAAAAAAAGAGTGCTGAAGTTATTTGCTTAAGGTCATACAGCTGCTAGGAGGCAGAGCTTGGATTCAAGTCCCAGCACCCCAACTCCAGACCCAGCACCCTGACTCCAGACCCAGGCTCTTAACCACTGTGCAAGTCTGTGGGAGTGGACAGGATGTGTTAATCCGTTAGGGCTGCTATAACAAAATGTCATATATTGGATGGCTTTTTTTTTTTTTTTTTTTTTGACAGAGAGAGAGAGAGCACGACCAGAGGGAGCAGCAGAGGGAGAGGGAGAGGGAGAAGCAGGCTCCCCGCAGAGCAGGGAGCCTGATGTGGGGCTTGATCCCAGGACCCTGGGATCATGACCTGAGCCGAAGGCAGACGCCCAACCAACTGAGCCACCCAGACACCCCTACTGGGTGGCTTAAACAACAAACATTTATTTAACACAGTTCTAGAGGCTGGAAGCTCAAGGTCAAGGCACAGGCAGATTTGCTGTCTGGTGAGGTCTTCCTAATTCATAGATGGCTGTCTTCTGGCTGTGTCCTCACAGGGTGGAAGAGGCAAGGGAGCTCTCTGGGGTCTTTCTTAAAAGGACACTAATCCCACTGGTGAGGGCTCCACTCTCATGGCCTCACCTCCTTTTTTTTTTTTTTTTTTTTAAGATTTTTATGTATTTATTTGACAGAGAGACACGGCAAGAGAGGGAACACAAGCAGGGGGAGTGGCAGAGGGACAAGCAGGCTTCCCGCCGAGCAGGGAGCCCGATGTGGGGCTCGATCCCAGGACCCTGGGATCATGACCTGAGCTGAAGGCAGAGGCCTAACGACTGAGCCACCCAGGCGCCCCATGGCCTCACCTCTTAATTCCATCACACTGGGCATGAGGATTTCAAAATATGAATGGGGTGGGGAGACACAAACATTCGGTCAGTAACAGAAGTAAAAGGGGCAAGTGAGGAGCTACATCTAAGGTATTGCCTTAGGAGGACTCTTGGAACTGGCTGTCACTTTGTCACTTGGATGGATATCCAGGAGGAGGTGCAGGGTTTGGGGAGGCTGAGTTCAGCTTGGCAAGGAATGAGTTCAGGATGCTTGCAAGATGTTCTGAGTTTCTGGTGGAAAAGCCCAGGAGGGACGTGGGGTCTGAAGGTCAGGGACAGGTGGGGGCTAGGGACATAGTTCCAGAGTCAGCAGCATGCAATGGGCAGCCTAAGAGACACCTGGACAACTGAGAGCCAGGGCCCTAGTTCTGGCAGGGAGATCGAGACTCAGAGCACACAGAAGTTCAAAATGACAGTATGAAAAGGAGTTTTTGTAGGGCTTTTCTAATTTCACTTTGCATATAATTTCACATCTCCATTGAATCCCTTTGGAACACTGTGTGTATATGGTTTGAGGAGGTGCTCGCCTGAATGTTCTCAGATGGCTACCCAGTTATTCAAGTACTATTTTTAAAGGAATGTTTTATTTAATTTGGGAATAATTCATAAATGCACAAGATGCAAATTCCCAAAGGCACACAAGGGTATAAGATGGAATTGTTTCTCTTCTCCCCGGTCCCCCCACTCAGATCCTCTCCCCAGAAACAGTGGCATCTTCCAGAGGGGCTTGATATTTACAAGAATATGCACACACTTTCACAGAAATGGTAGCATGTACACACACTTTGCATCACCGGTTCTTTACTGAACGGTGTATCTTGGTGGCCACTCCACATCAGTACACATCATTCTTCTTATTGATGCAGAGCATTGCACTGTAGGAGTGAACCATAAACAATGAACAATTCCCTACTAAGGGACATTTAGATTGTTTCCCCATCTTTTACTATGACGGTGCCCCAGTGAAGAACCTTTGGCAGATGTCATTGTGTGCAGGTGTAAATGCAGCTGTAGGATAAATTCCCAGAAACGAAATTGCTGGGTCAGAAAATACATGCACTAGAAATTTTGACAGATTCTGATAAAATGTTTTTCACAGTTGTTCTATATCCTCTTATGGGTAATGTATGAAAGCACCTATTTTTCTATAAACTATCCATTGGTATGCTTTGCCTGTGCAGATAAGCTGGGCATCTTTTCTTAGTGATTCGCAGGCATTATTTGTACAATAAGGAAATAAGCCCTCTGTCTGTAGTTGCAAATATGGTCTTTCCCCCAGTTTGTGTTAGCCCTGTGATTTTGTTAATTATTTTTAATGCAGACATTTTTGATTCTTTATGACGTCTACGTTTTGTCACACATAGTGTTATCAGGTGTCTGTTGCTATGTAACGAATTATTTCAAAACAATGGCAGTCATTTTACTATCATTTCTTGTGGTTCTGGACATTGGCTGGACTCAGCTAGAGCTTCTTTTCAGGCTCTTGCATGTAGTCAGAGGCTGGTTGGGCTGGAGTCACTCCTATGTCTGCTTATCAGTGCTGGCTGTCAGCTGGGCCCTTGGCTAGGCTGTTGGTCTGGACGTCTACACAGGACCTCTGCCTGTGGCCTGGACTTCCTGCCAGCCTGGAGCCTGGGCTCCAAGCCTAGGCCATTCCAAGAAAACAGAAAGGGGAAACCTCTCAGCCTCTTAAGGTCTGAGCCTGGAAATAGTACTACATCTCTTCTGCCAAATTCCATTGGTCATGCAGTCATGGAGTCTTTTTTCTTTCTTTCTTTCTTTCTTTTTTTAAGATTTTATTTATTTGTTTGAGAGAGAGGGAGGGAGGGAAAGGGGCAACAGGGGAAAGGGGCAGAGGAAGAGAGAGAAGCAGACTCCCCGCTGAGCAGGGAGCCCAATGCGGGCCTCGATCCCAGGACCCTGGGACCATGACCTGAGCCGAAGGCAGCCGCTTAACCGACTGAGCCACCCAGGCGCCCCCTTTCTAGCTAGTCTTACGTGACTGGTCATATGTGAGGTAGTAAAGGGCTGTTGTTTTGTGGTTATTTGCCGTAGTACACTAATATAGGTAAGGACATATCTCAGGGCCCCTTAGGGCCCCTTTAGGAGCAGAGTTAGGTGCTTGTGGCCTGTTTCATTTCCGAGGCTTTGTGAGAACAGGGTTGGCTCAGAATATCTGCCTCAACCACAAACTAGCCAGATGGCATCAGGCAAAGCATTTCTGATGGATCCTTGGTTTCCAAACCACAGAATGGGGGACCAATCATTGGATGTCATGGTGGTCAGTATGCACTAAGCCCAGGACCAGAGCCTGGGAAGTCCACAGGAAATGCTGACCGAATGGGATTGACTTTGATCCTCACCTCTTTGGTCAGGGGAAGGTAATGGGCCCAAGTCATGCCCATGTCCACGTCAGGCACTCCCTGCCTCCCTGGCTTCACACCCACCGCTATGGCACTTGCCCCCTACAATCCCCTCCCCTGCTCTAGGCTCTGGACCCCTCCTGCCCTTGGTCAGGGGGTGTAGAGGACTCAGGGCTCTCGGCCCTTGGGATCTTTCCTAACCATCTGGCTTCTACCCCATCTCTAAGATTTGTCCCCATTCCAACTTCTGGAATCTTGGACCTTGAGCCTGAGCCAACCTAGTAACCCTCCTGAGCCCCGACCAGCTGTCCTGGGGACCTGCTTGACTCTCTGCTCCTCTGTTGCTCCCAGCCCTGGCTAGAATCCAGCCTTGGTCCCCTGGGTTGGGGGCCCCACGGCAGCACCCCAGGGCTGACCTTGTTACCTAGCCCCCTCTCCCCACCCACTCAGGCATAGAGTGACTCAGCCTGGGCACGCATCCCAGACACACCTGAAGGTGGAACTGCCGTGGAGTAGCTGCAGGCTGGGAGGCAGGGAGTATGGCTGCCTCCTAGGCCATGGTGAAGGGCTGCAAGAGGCAACATATAGAAAAGTGCCTGCAAGTAGGGGGCACAATGCAGGTGCCCATAAATGCTGGTCAGATCTCTGACTCAGAGTTATGTGCTGCCCAGCTGTTCATGTAAAAAATGATTGGTCATATTATTGCAACATGTTATTAGAGCTAACACTTACTATGTGCCAGTGGTGTCTGTGGCTGTCCTTCAGGTCACCACATGTTGTCTTCACAGCGACTCTCTGCGGTGGGTGCTCTTAGTATTCCCATTTTGCAGATGAGGAAACTGAGGCCCAGAAAGGTTAAGAAACTTGTCCAAGGTCTCACAGCTGGTAAGTGGCTGAGCTGATATTTAAACCTAAGTATTGAGATTACTCTCGAGCCTGAGGATGATGGCCATCATAGATGGGGCCAAGCAGGGGGAGCCGCTCTGAGCTGCATCCCCAGCCACAGCCCAGGCCTGGACCTCTGTGCTCTCTGCCACCACCTCTCAGTGCCTGCACGCCTGCCAACACCAACTCCCCCAAACTCATAATGGAGATGGCAGGGAAGTACTTGGTGACTTGAGATAGGTGCTCAACTGCCGGCCCAGCTCAAAGCCTCAGAGCACCCCACACGGTCCAGGAACCCCTCACTTTGTGGGTGGGCTAGGGGCAGGAAAGACTCCTTCCTGTTTCCTGCGCTGACCCCCCTGAAACCCTCTCCTCCCTTCAGGAGCTCAGGGACCCCACTTTCTCAGGAAAAAACCTAATATCAGTCATGTACACTCTAGTAAAAGGAACCTGGTTCTCCTTTGGATACCCTCGTCTCATTCTAGACTCCAAACTGGCTTCTTTTGACATGGAAATCTCATTGAAAGGTCATGAATATATCATAAATCTTAGACAAGAAACTTTTCAACAAGACTATCACTCCAAACACAGAAAAGGTGAAAGTAGTCCAACTGCCCAAACCAGAGGCTCTGCAAACAAGGCCTTGAGTGGCATATGGAAATGTGAGCAGGGCTCCTATAAGGCCTCGATAAGATCCTCTTCTCTCTAAGGCCCAATTTCTCATCTGAGGAGAATGCACTAGGCCAGGGATCGGGAAACTTTTTCTGCAAAGAGCCCAGTAGAGCTGGACTGGAGCAGAGCTTCTCACTTTCACGTGCGCACAAAAATTACCTGGGGATCTTCTTAAAATGCAGATTCTAATTCAGTAGACTTGGGTGAGACCTGAGACTCTGCATTTCCTATAAGCGTCCACCTGTTGCTGCTGCTGATCCATGGAGTGCATTTTGAGTAACAAGAGGCTAGGGAAACTTCCAGCTCGGCTGCTCTCCGAGATCCTAAGTGACACTCTGATGACAGATCCTGCTGTTCACTGAAGAAATGCTCACTCGGGTCTGAACGCAAGTGAGCCCCAGCATTTTCTGTGCAACCTTCGCCTCTGTCCCATGGTTATCTTGCTTTCTTTCTGTATTTGCTGTGTTTTTTCTCTTACCTCCTGCCATTAGAGCATAAGCTTCTTGAGAGCAGGGCCTTTGTTGCTTTGTTTGCCACTGTTGTCCTGCAGTCTTGCTCATGCCAGGTGCTCAGAAAACATTTGTTGAGGGAATGAATAAATGATACTGGTGGGCGGCGCCTGAGTGGCCTCCCTCCTGGCTCATCCCCGCGGGGCCATCGTCGTTTTATCACCACCTAGTGCGCACTTCTGTGTACTGCGGGGTGGGGGAGAAAAAGGCTCTGCGTGTTTGATTTTGACCCAGGCAGAAGGTAGAGGCCACTGTGGGCAGCGAGTTGCCCCTTCTGGTGCCCATATTATCTGTGTTCTAGTCTGCTGGCACAGGAGGAGAGCCTTCCTGGGGGCGATGGCATTTGAGCTGAACAGTGAAGGCGACAAGATGTGGGAATGAGAGAGGGAACAATGGCATTCCTGGCAGAACAGACACCGTGACTGGACGTCCCGAGGCTCGAAAGCATGGGCATCTGGCAAAAGGGAAGAGAAGCAGAAGCCGCTGAGATAAGCAGTGGAAGATGAGACAGGTGATGATATAGGAGGAGGGGAAGAGACCCCAAGGAAAGGGAGCTTCCCCTTAGTGAGTGTTGGATCCGTGCCAGGCGCTTTCTGCACACAAGTTCACTTAATCCCTGTGAAGGCCAATGAAGCAGATTTTAGGACCCCCATTTTACAGATGAGGCAACTGAGGCAGAGATCAGCAAAGTGACTTGCCCAAGGTCACATAGCTGGTAAGGGGCAGAACCAGGTTTGAATTTAGATCATCTGCTTATCTCCTCCCTGATGGAGTGCCTTCCCCTGGCTTGTGCTTGGAGGGGGGTGCATGTTGATGGGGCACATGCAGGAAGCCAAGGGGCTGGGGCTCAAGACACCCAGAGATGTTTGCTCCTCTTCATGGGCTCAGGGCCTGACAGCACATCACCCAGAAGTCTCCCTCTGCTCACCTGCATGGTCCTAGACCTCCTGGCCTGGGTGGCAGGACACCCGGATTCTAGTCTGTGCTCCCCTCACCTCTCTGGCCACAGAGGACAATAGTTATAATGACTTGGAAGAGGACCTCAGGGAACTCTTGCTCACCCATTATACAGATATGAAAACTGAGGCCCAGAGAAGAAAAAGAACTTCCCTGATGATGCGCACCAAACTAGACTCAAGACAGCTTTCATCCTGGCCCCTGCCTGGGCTCCCATCTGGTGGCTGGAAACTGATGCTACCATACAGAGGGCCTGAGCCCTGGCCACAGAGGGTGGCAGAGAGTCCAGCAGGGCCCCCTTGGCCAGCCAGGGCCTTTGGGAAATGTGTTTGAATTTCATTTCCCAGCGAGGCATGTCCCCAGGGAGAGGATGAGCATATGGCGCTGCCGGCTGGGGGGCTACGGCCTCTTTAAGGAAGGAAAGGAGGCTTAGCAGGACTTGTCCCACAGGCTTTCAGGAGACCCACCAGGGCAGAGGGAAGAATGAGGGGTCACCCAGTTCTGGAAGCAGACCTGGATCCCCCCCCCCCAGACTTTCAGCTCTGCTGCAGCCCTACATCTGGCTCAGGAAGTCACCTGCCCCTTTCTCAGCCCCTGGGCCAGCTCTTCTGGAAAGCAGAGGACGCTGGCCTGGGGGACTTGTGCACGAGGGAGCCACCTCCACCCAGGACTGAGCCCAGCTCTGTCAGGCTTCGAACTATGGGATCTTCACCACCACATAGGCCTGACAATGGGCACTGTTACTATTCCTCAAAAAAACTGAGAGACAGAGAGACAGAAGGACTTGCCCAAGTTCACCAAGTTTGGTGCAGGCTTCAAGCCCAGGATACAGTGACACCAAAGCCTTTGACCACAACACCCATGACTGCCCTGACCCAAGCCCCCGGCCAGCCCCAGTGGCTCCTTCTGTCACCTCCCCAGGGATTAATTCATCCATGGCCTCAGGGCATCTCTTGGAGCTTCTGCTTCTGCCCAGAGCCCCGCGCTACAGCCTGGGATGCTGGCTGGAAGCCTCTGGCTTTGTGTTAGTGACCCCCACCATACACAGCCCACTCCTCTGACCCTCACCACTTACCTGGTCCTCTTCCTCGAGAACCAGGAGCTCCACCAGTGCCAGTACCCAGTGCCCAGCTGTAGTGGACAGTCCATAAACGTGTTCTCTGTGAGGGGGCCCCTCCAAGGGTGAACACCCCATTCTTCAAATGGGAAAACGGAGTGTTAGCAGGGGATAGTGACCTGCCTGGATCACCAGCAGGCTCCAGGCAGAGCAGTGACCTGCCCAGGCCTCTTGATGTCCAGGCTCAGGTTCCCTCCACGGGACAATTTGGCTTAACAAAGCTCCCCCAGCCGCTGTGCTGCCCGAAGTCTCCACGTGGATGCAAAAGTTGGCATCTGGGCCACTGTTCTGCCTGCCGGGCAGAGGCCTGTCACCCAGATGCTGCCCACCCCAGCTGGTGCACAGACTCCAGGAATGCGCTTCACTGGGAACAGAACTGGAAAAGGTTGCTGAAGATTACTGTAGTCGATTTCTAGGACTCCCTGCAGTGGGAACGACTATTTCTGCTGGGGATTTTTTTTTTTTTTTCCCAGAGTCATTTCCTTAATCCTTTTCAGGGCATGGCTGAGACTTAGTAACAAGCTGTAACAGCTGGAGTACTTGGTTCTGGGAGCAGGGAAGGACGGTTCATTCTTAAATGAGCTTTCTTGATGGCTGAGCTCGGCTATGGCAAAGGGGTTGGGGGTGGGGAGCAGGGATCCAGGGCCTGAACAACAACAGTGCTAGCATAGGACCAGAGGTCAGCACCCCCATTAAACAGATGGAGCCATGGAGGCCTGGGGAGGCTGTTGGGTAGGGGGAGTGGCACAATTCCATGTGCTGACTGGTTCAACGGGGTGGAGCCACGGAGAGGGGGCCATCTCCCCGGAGCCTGGGTTGGCCATCAGGCACCTCAGGACCTCAGGGCAGGGCCATCCCGCTGGAAGGTTCCCTGCAGGAGGAGAGGTTGTGTGGGACCTGGCAGGCATCGGTCTACTTTGTAAGGAAGCTGCCGAGGGTGATGATCTAAGAGAAAGAAATAGCAGGAGGAAAAGCATGGAAGCTTTTTCAGTCAGTTTTCCAGAAGCAGGCTCTTAGCCGAGGACTGGACCCTGTGCAAGTGATTTATCCAGCAAGTGTTCCCAGAGTGAGCCTGGGAAGGAGACGGACACAGGAGAAGGGATGGGAGGAAGGTAAAGGGTGCCATATCTGGCCTAGTCCTGCCCAGGGCTTGGGTGGGGTGGTTTGTTTCTGGAATGTAAGTTACATCTCAGGGTTGTTGAAACTCCAGGCCAGGGAACTGGTCTTCCATACTCTCTGCACACCATCAGTCAGCACCATCCAAGGAGATCTGGGCTGAGTATAGCTTCCTGGAGGAGGCGAGGAGGAGGCCTCACCATGTGATGGGCAACAGGACAAGCGGGTTCTACTGAGGGCAAGGGTTTGAGCAGGACCTGAGGGAGGAGCTCGGGTCCACCGCTGGAAGGCCAAGGTTGCCATGATCCATGTGGGTGAGCACCAAGGCCCCATCGCCGATTTAAGACAGGCCAAGGGGGAGCATGGAGCTCGGAGGATGAGCCAGCTCCCTACAGGCTGTGCGTGAAGATCACTCAACTGTTTCAGCAAAAGTCCCACAAACCACCTCTGGAAGTCCCTCTCTCCTGTGCCGCTGTTTGGGCTGCAAACCCTGATCTGGGACGAGGAGGGACAAATGTCTCAGGAGAAGTGGAACCACGGTATACTGGCCTGACTTGCACTCCAAGAGCCTGCAGGCTGCACGCAGAGAGGAGCCCAGGGCCTGACTGACATCAGGTCTGGGCCCAAAGGGCAGAGCCACGATTGACTAGGGGCAGCCCAGGGGTGGGTGTATTAGTGGCAACTCCTACCCCTCGAGCTGACCCCCCCCTTCCTTCTTTCCTCCCCTCCTTCAGGGCCCCATCTGGACCTCCTGGCCTCCAGCCTCGCCTCCTCCAATCGAATTTCCTAAATTTGCCAGAGGGTCTCCCCTGGAAAGCAAATGTGGCCCTGTCCCTTCCCTGCCTGCCGCCTTCCGTGGCTCCCTATTGTCCTCAGGAAAAAGACCAAAGCCCCAGTGTTCTCCCATGTTCTCCCTGGTGATGAAGATGCTTACCCCCGCAGGGGCTGAGAGCATAACCCTCGGCCAGAAACCAGGAGTCCCAGAGGCCCCCAGCCCACAGGCAGCCACCCAGCTGTCCCAGAATAGGGATGAGCTGCCCCAGGACCTCCCTCCCGGCTTTGCCTCTGTGATTAATTTATGGAAAGCATCTAAACTGGAGTCAACCCAGTCCTGCACATCTCATGTAATCCTGCCTCCGATGGAGGGAGCAGGGCCCTGGGGGTGGAGCTTCTCTTCCAGTGATTACATTTAGTTTTATTTGGGGGTGGGGGGTGGGGGACCCAAAGTGAGGCATTTAAAATCTCATTTCTGCAATCACCTGAGGAGTGAGGAGACTCCCATGTGGCACTTGGTGAGGCCACAGGGAAAGCGGCCATCCTGCAGCCCCAACAGGGGCTTGGAGGGCAGAGTCTGGCTCAGCAAAAACTTCTCTTGGCTCTACCTTTATGCACACCTAGTTCTCCCCTCCGTTGCCTGCACCCTGGTCCAAGCACCACCATCTCTGCTGTAGCCTCCGGACAGGCCCTGCTTCTGCCTGGCCCCGCGGGGGGGGGGGGGGGGGGGGGGGGCTCTTCCAGGCAGCTTGGAGCCTGGTGGTACTTCTGTGAGCAGGAGTCCAGGGCTCTTATCTCCCTGGGGCGAACGCCGGAGCCCCACCCCAGCGCACACAGCCCACACTCCCTCTCTTCTCCCACTCCCCTGGGGTCCTCGCTGTCTTAGACTCTGTCAGGTCTCAGGGCTCCTGCTCGCTCTGGACCCCGGCCTGGAACTCCCTTCCCTACAGATCTCACTCTCCAGTCAGCCCTTCACGGACTTCCCTGATGACACCCCACCATCCATTCTCTACGCCCCCGGCCTGCCTTATTTATCCCCTTAGCACTCACCACTAATCTGATATATCCTAGTTTTTGTTTATTGTCCAGTTTCCCTCTATTCTCCACCAGAATGTAAGCTCTGCGTGCAGGGGATTTGCTTGTTCACGGATGCATCACCAGCGCCAAGAGCAATGCCGGCATGTAGCAGATGCTCAGTACATATTTATCAAATGAGTGAGTGATGTGCCTCTGTCCTTGGGCAGAAAGGGCGGGCCGAGCTCCCCAAGGTGCGCTGGAAGCGCGGAGTCGGCCTACTGCTCGCTGCGCGCTGGTCTCCCGGCCGGCTTCTCCGTGGAAGTTCCGGCCGCAGACAGCAGCTCGGGTCTCTGCCAGTAGCCTCCCAGGACCCTCCACAGCCCTCAGGGCAAGCTTGCCCGGGCCCCTCCCAGCCGGACACCTTCTGGCGTGTTTGGGTGTGGGCGTGAGGCCCAGCTCCCCGGCACACCTGAGTCATAGCCAGAGAGCACCTGCAGCCCCTCTCGTGGGGCCTCAGTCCCACCCTGTCCTAATTTAAGCCTCACAGCAACGTGCTCAGCTAGTCATCACCATCCCCATTTTACAGATGAGGGAACAGTGGTCAGAGGTCAGAGGTCAGAGGCCGCAGAGGTGACTTACCCGAGCGCAGGCTGGTGTCACGAGGCCGAGAGCAGCAGTGTCCTGGGCTTCGAGCCCAGCACTGCTGGAGTTCAGTTCATGCTCAAAAAGTGTTCGGAGAATGAAGAAAAGGGCAAATTTGAATTCCAGGGCTCCCGAGTGAGTGATGAAGACCCTGTAAACAGCGCATGTGCCCACCCATTGCTAGTTGATCGGGGTGGCCCATCCATGCTTGGCTGAGGCCCAAGAATGTGACTGCCCCAGCATTCTGTAAGGAGAAAGAAAAGGCAGTATCTGTCCTCCCACGGATCCAGGGAGGAACCCGAATGACGGTGCCCATCCTCAGCCTTTGGCTTTTCCCTGGGCAGAGACAAGGTCCAGAAGGACCGAAGGATAAGCTAGAGGCAGGGATAGAGCTGGGAGCAAGGCTCCTGCCTCTGGACACCAGTCCCATCTTTGTTCTCTGAGCCTACCCGCTACGTCCACAGTGACTATTTCCCCAGGACCTGCACCTCTGTTTCCTTACGGTAAAGCGAGGCAATTGTACCAATCTAATACAATCAACAATGAAATGAAAGAACACAAGGAAGTGCCTGGCAGAAAGCAAATTCTAATAAGTGAAGCGTATGACTATGAGCTGGATCCAAGAGAGGCTCAGACATCACATTGCCTCCTTCACTGCATTACAGATGGGTCTCACAGGCCTGGAGCTGCAGACTTGATAGTTAGAACAACAATTACTTGTTTAACGGGGAAAAAAAACAAAAGTGCCCGAATGGTAGAGATGATGGGGCAAAACTAGCCCAGCATGGGAGCATTTCGTAAGCATTTTAAATGTACAAGGTAAATACTTTATGAAATGTTAAATATTAATAAAGGCTCATTTTGTCTGAATTCTCCCACCTTTAAAAATGTTTGTCAAGAAACAAATAATTTCAAAGCTGTCCAGTTAAGTGAGCTGTAAACTGGATTTACAATATTGCCAAGTAGGGTATTTTTCAAACTGGCAAACAAATATAAATGTTTCTTCTCATCTTTTGTCAGGATTAGCCTTGAGTTTGGCGCATTTTGAATTACACCATGACAGGAGGGACCCTTCTTGGCATAAGACGCAGTGGTCCTAGACACACCTCTATGTCCCCAGGGCCCCCCACTTGGGAAACAGCACTTTGACAAAACCTATCAAGAACTGTAAGGACCATTTATACACTTTGACTAGTTATTTCCTCTGGAATTTATCCTAATGAAATAATTCCAAAAAAGCAAAGCAAAACTTTAAGCACATAAGGATGTTAATTACAGGATTGTTTATAGTGCGGGAAAATGGTAAACACACTCAACTTAGAACAATAGAGGGATGTTAGTAAATACACTTGAGTCCTTAATGATTCTTCAGCCAATAAAGTGATCATTTTGAAGACTGTAACATCAGGATGATGTTTATGTCCCAAGGTTTCATATCAAAGGAGAAAATGTGAAACTGCATTGAGACTCTGGTCTCTGACTCAGGGCAGTTTTCTTTGCTCTATATTTGATCCTCACATCAGCCCTGAGGGAGACAAAACAGGGTCATTATTTATTCTCCCATTATCCTGGGGAGGAGAGGAGACTGAGCAGGGAGAAGCCACAGAGACCCAGATTCGGAGCTGGGACAACTCCCTGGTTTCCTAACACAGAACCTAGTGCTGCCTCAGAGGACCATCCCCGACAGGGTCACCCCACAGCAAGTCTCCAGTCTCGGGGGAGAGGAAGTGAGTCCCCCTTTTGCTGGGGCAGTCCCCAACTCCCAGGTTAGGACAGTGCAAGACAATGCCCCGTTCTCACGCACCCTGCCCCCTCTCATCCAGGAGCTGTGGCCCCTGGGCTGCCCCTTCCTCTGTCTCTGGCTGGGGTTTCCCCCTAGGCAGATCTGGAAGAACCCCCACTCCCAGGCCCCACCCTGTGCTGAGCTGGCTTATAGGAAGCCCCTTCTGCATTCTTGACCCATGAGATCATGTGGGAAAACCCTTAGAAACCCTAAGACCCACTGCAGGTGCTTGTTGTTCCTATAACTAAAAAAAAGTTGTAAGGTGAATTTTTTTCCATCATGCAAAAATTGTCGATCATCATATAACAAACACTCCCGTCTCTGCTGCCCAGCTTAGAAGATAAAACCTTACAGGGACACTTGAAGTTTCCTGGCATCCCTTCCTGATCCAATGCCCTACCTCGGTCACAAGGGTAAACCAAACCAGAACTGTTTATCCACAAATGTTAAGTAGAATTGTTTTGCATGCTTTTCAACTTTCAGTATGTGGTTTCCTACCATCTAGTATTCACTCAGCAAATTCACTCAACAAATATTTATTGAGTGCCTGCTGTATGTTAGATACCATTCGAAGCCCTGGGAATGTCAGTGAACAAAACAGACAAGATCACTGTTCTCATACTAGGTACATTCCTGTGGGGTAAACCAAACAGTAAACAAAATTTATGAATTATAGATAAAATTTGTTTTTTGATAAATTATATGATATGTTAGAATGCGAGAGGTGCAAAGGAGAAAAATAAAGTCAGAGAGGTGGGGGTGGAATGTTGCAATTTTAAGTAGAATCCTATCCTTCTATATCTTGCTTATTTACTCAGTATTATATTTTTCCTTTTTCTGAATGCACCAACTTTATTCATTCTCTTGTCAATAAACACTTAAGATTTCTTTGTCATTATAGGGACACCTGGGTGGCTCAGTTGGTTAAGCGTCTGCCTTTGACTCAGGTCATGATCCCAGGGTCCCAGGATCGAGCCCCGCATCGGGCTCCCTGCTTGGCGGGAAGCCTGCTTCTCTCTCTCCCTCTACTGTTCCCCCTGCTTGTGCTCTCTCACTCTCTCTGTCAAATAAATAAATACAATCTTTAAAAAAAAATGTATACCATGTATTTATTTTTTTAAGTTTTATTGATTGATTTAAAAACTTTTTTAAAAAAGAAAATGTATTATCTTTTCCCTCCAGCTGCTTTTTTTTTTTTTTTAAGATTTTTATTTACTTATTTGAACAAAAGAGAGCAGAGCTAGAGAGAGAGAGAGACAGCATGAGCAGGGTTAAAGGGCAGAGGGAGAGGGAGAAGCAGGCTCCCCGCTGAGCAGGGAGCCCCATGTGGGGCTCCATCCCAGGACCCTGGGATCATGACCTGAGCCAAAGGTAGACGCTTAGCCAACTGAGCCACCCAGGCATCTCGATAAAGTATTTTTAAATTAAGTTATGTACATTGAGGTTTTTTTTAGATGTAATGCTATTGCACACTTAATAGACGCAGTGTAGTGTAAACACAACTTTTATATGCACTGGGAAACAAAATAATTAATTTGACCCATTTTATTGTGATATTCACTTTATTATGGTGGTCTTGAACCAAACCCACAATATCTCCCAAGTATATCTGTATATACTTTTGTCAAATGCCTTTCTGCATCTACTTAGGTGATCATATGGTTTTTTTTCTTTAATCTATTAATATGGTGTAATGGTAAATTACCATTATCGATGTTCTAATTTTTTTTAAAGATTTTATTTATTTGTGACAGAGAGAGAGCACAAGCAGGGGGAGCGGCAGAGGGAGAAGCAGGCTCCCCACTGAGCAAGAAGCCTGATCTGGGGCTCGATCTCAGGACCCTGGGATCATGAGCTGAGCTGAAAGCAGACGCTTAACTCACTGAGCCACCCAGGCGTCCCTACATGTTCTAATATTAACCCATCTTTGTATTCCTGGTATAAATTCAACTTCATTATGGTAGGTTATCTTTTTCATACACCACTGGATTATTTTAATAACGTTATTTAGGATTATTATGTCTATATTCATGAGTTAAATGGGCCAACAATTTTCTTTTCTCATGCTTTAGTTGTCTAATTTTGGTATTAAGATCATACTGACCTCAAAGAATGAACTTGGAGTATTCTTATTTTTCTATTTCCTGAAAGAATTCATATACAATTGGGATTATCTATTCCTAGAAATATTGGTAGAATTCACCTATAAAACCATCTAGGCTTTGAGTGTTCTTTGTGGAAAGTTTTTAATTATCGCTTCAATTTCTTTCATAGTTTTAGGGTTATTGAGAATATTTTTTCCCAGTTTTGGTAGGAATTTGTCTATTTCTACTAAGACTTCAAATTTGTTGGCATGAAGTGGTTGAGAACATTATCTTATCTTCTTTATTTTAATAATAATCTTATTTGCAAATACAGCTACATGCAAATGCAAAATCTTCAGGTATTTGGCTGTCTTGATCTTATTTTTAAACCTCCGTTTTAACTATAATTGTGTTATTCTTTTCATTTATGATGTTACTTACTGTAGCTTTCTTTTCCTTGATCAGTCTTCCCCAAGATGTGTCTGCTTTGTCTATTGAGAGAATCAACCCTTGGCTTTGTTGGTCTCCATTGCATTTTTGTGTTTTATTTTGTTGATTTTGTTTTGTATCATCTTCCTTATATTGTTTTGGGGTTTATTGTATTTTTACAAAACTTCTTATGTTGGACACTTTAGTCATTAATGTGCTCTGAGGGTATTTGCCTCCCAGCTGAACTCTAGCTGGTTTTGAAGGAACTGTGGGATGGGGACCCCCCTCCACCCCCGCCCCAAAGCAGGACTCCAAAGACCTAAGTTTGGTGCAATTTTGCTTTCTCCCCAAACTATAGTAGCATGATATAAAAAGGAAAAAAAAAAAAAAACACCACAAAGAGGAAGAGAACAATAGAGGAATCATCAGCCACAGCACTTTGCAAGCTGGAAAGTTGATGGATTTAACAGGCCCAAGAAAGCCAAATCCCAAACTTGAAAAAGAAGCTGATGTATAGCACAGAATCATGAAGAGGCCCCAGAAGCAGGCACACCAATTATCTCAGATCTGGGAATGGGCCTTAATAAGGCCTTAATAGGGCCTTAATTGGGGGGACAGAAGAAAGATCCTACAGGTTTGCAGAGAAAAAGTAGATTTGACGCAAAGGATTATGGCTCAAAATGCAATGGATATTTCCAATTGCATCAGTGGAAGCCAGAACACGATGGAATAGTAATATGTTCAACATTTTCCTCGGAAAATTTTGTGGTTAGATTGGTGATAAATATTAGCAAACTAAGTCAATGACAAGAATAAGTTAACTATTGGGGCGCCTGGGTGGCTCAGTTGGTTAGGTGACTGCCTTCGTCTCGGGTCATGGTCCCAGGGTCCTGGGATCGAGTCCCGCGTCGGGCTCCCTGCTCTGCAGGGAGCCTGCTTCTCCCTCTC